CTACGTTATCGCAGCTAGATTAAAAATGTCAAAATGACGGACCAGGATGAATAACTGAGGAAGGAGAACCTACTTCTAGTAAATAGGATCGCATAACACTTTTTTTTTAAATCGTAATTTTTCAACAGTTCATGTTTTCATATGATGTTGACTTAGAATGTATGATCATGTAACAACCTTTTCTCTATAAAGAATAAATTTTCGACTTCAGATAGAATCGGAATACGTATTGAAAACAGGGGAAAAAATATTTGATTACGTTATAAAAATGGCGCGTGCTGCCGATAACTACGGCTTCTGTTTCGGACCAAAGGAACTGATTAAAGAAAAGTTGTCTCAGCATAAAAAGGTCCATTTAAAAGTATGCTTTAATCTCTGTAAAGTATTGAAAAAATATAATTATCAAGTATCTCAACACGTTCCTTATTGACACATATTCTACATGTACACGTAGTGGTTTTGCCATACAGTTTATTGTGTGTGATGGTTAATATGACTTCCTAAATGTTAGCGTTTGGAGACAGTGAAAGTGGGAAAGAGAGTATACATAGATTTATATTCATGGTCTAGAAAAAAAATGGCCAAAGACATTGAGTTGTTTAATGTAATAAATAAATTCACAAACGTTTCCTTTTTATATTCGCGTGTAGTTTGTCATTGCATATATGCACTTTATGTAAACATTTGAAAAGGGATATTCGTCTCGTGAATATTCCTTTTTACAGAAAGGTTTGTCCCATTGTTGAGGGAGTGTTTAGCCCCGTACCACCTGTACCGGTCACGGGAGAAGGCTGTGATAAATTGTAAAAACTTGTGCCCCATCCTTTGTTTAATTGTATTGGCAACAAATTTATGTTTAAAGCTAAATACATTTAAATTCTTAATATTGGCAAGTGTGCAATTAACTTCTGATGATGAATAATTACTGTTTAATAAGTTTGAATACGGAATTAGAATTCATATAACTTGGTTTCATAGTGCGGTAAGAAGTTGCAGTTGCCTGACGGCCCCTCGCTGAGGGCCCCTTTGTAAACCGTTTCATCTCGCTCGCACCACTTGTGTTTGCTGCCTAATCAGGTGACGTTATCGGCGCTATTTTTAGCCGGGCTTTCCCGAACAATTCAAGTGGTCAAACTGGACATTTGGAACGGACTATGAATATGGGGATAGCGAGGTAACATAAGTGGAAGTGCATACAATACATACATTCATTAAAAAAAAAACGCCTTTTCACGTGATGTCCCTTTAAATGAGGTAACGTGAATGCATCGTTGACGTGACATTAATTACTTGTGAACGTGACGTGCGTAGGTCATATATTGTTATGAGTACAGAATCCCTTCGTCGCTACCCTTGAGATAAGATAAAATTTTACGATCGAAGAGTCAAGGTTACCAACAAAACCGAATAAGAAAACAATATCTCACAACGGTCGAGATGAAAGGCGTGGGTTCACCCGTCCAGGGTAAGTGATATCTTACTGTTGGGCGTACAAAACCTTTGAAAGTAACGTACGTGGTAAATTAAGGATGATGGAAACCAGAGTTAACAATATATTTGGACAACGCAATTCAAGTATGTATATAGGGCATACATATAAACCATTACACGGACAGCCACAGAACAGCTGCTATAATATATTTGAAAACAACTCCAATGGAAGGGGTTCAACATTTGTATTTTGAATAACGAGTTTGAAGTAAAATACGAATAGGAAATGTAAGTACATAACACTGGAGAAAATTAGGGATGTCAACGGTTAGCCGGTAATTCGGTCGGAAAAAAACGAACCAGTGACCAAAATCAATAACCAAATAGTCGGACATTTATTTACCCCTTCTTAGAGCCCCATATCCTGGCTTAGACCTACACGTTATCTATAGATGCGACCGATATCGGGTAGTTTTGTAATAAAACATTGGCCAGGCTATCATGTCAGAGGTTTTTTTTGTACTCTATCGTAACAATTGGCAAGGAGATGCCGCCAGCACCATAAAAATTAGCAGATTTTAAACAAATGCCAGAATACAAAGTTGTTTAATATCAAGTTTTATAGTTGGACCTCGCTTTTAAATGTGAGATGCACACATTTGAATGTGTAAGCATGTATTTAAATGTTTGTCGATCAAATTTTATATTACCGCATATGATATCGAGTACAGATAACTGTAATTGAATCCCCCTTTCTGTATTCCGACATTTTTTTGTCCATGACATATACTCACTGAGGTTACATGTAACTATTACCTCCATTTTGCTTAAAGTACGAGAGTAATTTATCATGCTAATTATTATCTACATGTGTATATGTGATGTAAATACGTTTTAAACAGAACATTTGTTAACCTTATAACGTATTTTCGATTTTTATTGTTTGATTACCTAAATAGAACAGTTGTTAACCATATAACGTATTGCCGATGTTCATTGTTTGATTACCAAACAGATTAACCGGTTACGCGATTCGAAGATTGCTCGATTAACCGGTTACCAAAATTTGACCGGTTTGACAACCCTAGAGAAAATCAAAGTTAGCCCTGTAAAGAAATGGTTTAAGGCAATAAGTATCAACAGAATTACAATAACAGTGTCAAAATGTCTAGTAAAGGTACCCAATATCAACGGCATGGAATTTATGTTGACATACTCAGGATCTGGCATTGATATATCTTGACAGAAGAGAAAGTATTATGAAAGATTTGGTATTTTTGTAAAAATAAAACCGACATTACATTTGTCTATGGAAAGTAGAATCCAACAGTAAAGAGACTCGGTCTTGATGCTATCAGTAACAGATGTACGTCACCAATAGAGAGGTCAATGTCAACATAGAGGTAGAGGTTACTGTTAGGAAAAAAGTTAAAGTGTGGATGGTACAAATGCCTGGAGGTCGATGTGTTGATCAATCGAACGGAAGGCATGAAACCAATGAAAACGGAGAGTGTGTCAAAAATTGTGAGAAGAAGGGATTCGTATAAAGAAGTTTAGTAGTAAATTACAACATCAAAGTCTGGTAGCCACAGTTAAGCTAGAATCTCAGTATTATGTTTAGTTCAGATAGATAAGGCATCGCCATATTGATCGCGGGTGGACTTAGTGTTGGTTGTGTGTGTCAAATTGAACGCTAAATTACCGTACATTGTTTGTCTGAAAATGAAATACCAGCATATTTGTAAGAAGAACATACTACACGGTACAACGGGATATGTCTCGTTATTGTAAGGTGTGGTTTTGGTTATATTTAGCTTAGCGTCCTATTAGCAGCTTTGGTCATTTAAGATTGTGATTCCATGTGTGTAATGTTATACGTGTATGTATGTTTGTTATGTTGGTGGTATACGCCTCAATGCGATAGCGTAGATCTGATGCGGACTGTTTAGTGCTACTTGACTAAAATACCATGACAAAAACACCGAGAAAAATATTCCACCCTGTCACATTATATTGGCACATGACCTTAGAACTGTGTATTGTAATATCATTAACATTACCAGAGGATTCAATGATGAGTCTGTTCAAGGGGGGGGGGGGGGGGGGATTAAATCACAGTGCATATGAATGCCCTAAGTATTGTGTAATCCAGGATTCATCACCGTTCCCCTATTGGTAGTATGCTCTTCGTTCGTTTGGGTTTGGATCTCTTTAAAAAATACGGTATTGCCTTAGGTGAAAGCAATGACTATGTTTATCCAGAGAACACAATGTAAGAACAATTATGTTTCCAATCATATGAAAATACTGGAAAATGTGTATGACATCAAATAAAAAAAAAAAAAAAAAAATACCGACAATAGCGATATTGTAGTAAATGCAAACCGTCCAATTATATAGTACATTTTATTATCACGAGATGATATTGATACTGGTTTTCAATATTTCTTCGGCAGAATATTGTGACAAATATTGAAGACGAATGGCCAGGCGGATGCACAATAAGTAGTTTAATTAACCCTATTGTGTTCAGATTTGAAGATGAATGGGAAACCTGCATATGAAACTTGAGAAAGCTATGTCGAGTACTTCATAAAATATATAGTAAAGAAACTTGAACTGTCCAAATCGAGGATGGTTATATGATGGCCATCTTATTTTCCCCTGATCAGTCTTAATATGAAACTTGCACTACAATGTCTGAGAAAGATCCGTTTAGTTCTTTTTAAGGAAGGACGGACGGACGGACGAAAGACCATGAACGAACGGCGATTATTTTTGACAACATTTCATCACTAACACCCGTGAACAAAAAATGTTATGAATAAGTGTAACAATAGCTTCAGACCGTGTGTGGGTTAATAATAAGTAGCTGCAAGCAAATTATCACTATCACCATTGTAATATATGTTCAATGCATCACATTTATATAGTGGTGTTGTTCTATTGATTTGTTTTATCATCAAGGTAAGAAAAATACTGATAGCTCGATATTTGTATACAAGTACGAACCGTCGAGGTGTTTTTGGAGCTTATCAAGAAACAAGCAGAATGGTCTATAAAAACATACTGTTGGTTTGTCATTAAATTGGTAAAATATCGTCGACCACGAGAAATGCATGTATATACTGCTAGTCAAATGCATCTGCAACGAAACGTTTAAAAACAAATACTCAATCAAATAACTGTACATTAATTTATTTCTTTTCTTTGTTTCAGATGGCCCTCAAGCTTTTGAATCCTTGTCGATCAAACATTGAACTCATCCTCAGGATTTTAGTGTTTCTCTCGGCCAATACTCTAGTAACCGGTATCAATCAATGTCAACACATGTATTCAGATATGTATTCCGTGTGTAAAATAGAAAATTCAACACTGCCGGAACTGTGTTGTATCAACAACTGCTGTAATGTAGAGACATCATGTCCAAGTTATACAGCAAATCAACGCTGTGTTTGTAGAACGGGGACTCTGTGGAAAATATCCGAATTGCATGCATTGGATGTGGAATACACGACAGTTCGGGGATCCGCCATAGTTAGTGGTCAAAATGATGTTAAGTCAAAACTGGAACATGAAGCTGGATATCTAACCACTCTGCCGATAAACATATGTGATTACCATTTATTGTATCATATCGACTTGAAAAAGAACAAAATCAGGGAAATTAGAAAAATATCATGCCTTGCTCATCTAGATACATTGGATTTGAGTGAAAATCGGGTTTCAATAATTCACAATAATACATTCCAAGGACTATTATCGCTACGACAACTTAATCTGGCACATAACATGATAAGTTACATAGAACCATATTCATGGTCGCATCAAACGTCCTCTATATTAAACCTGCAGCTGGATGACAATGATCTATTGAATATTGACATTACGAATGTCATTATCAATCGACCATTCTGTAAGATTGATTATAGACAAAATAAGATACAAAATGTCATCAACGAGGTTGACTGGACATTAACAGCAAAGGATGAAATCGTCCAAGGTGGTTTCGTAGATCTTACTGAGAATAGCTTGACCGGAGTTATCGACTTTCTTCATCTCGGAGTTGCAGATCTCAGAGTCCTGGGGAAAATATTTTCCTATGGCATTGACATTCGCGACATTCCTTTGAGATGTGACTGTAAAATGGAGCCATTCTTACATATGGCCGAATCTGTTCTTCAATTGTTATGGAGATCTTATTTCAACATGTGCTGCTTTTATCCAGATCAACTGCAGAATCAATCGGTACCGAATCTCATAATGTTGAAGCAATTCGATCTCTTTGTGTGTGACATACCGCGCAATGAGAGCTGTCCTTACGATTGCAACTGTTATACACAACCAAGCAAGAACCGTGTAGTGGTAAATTGCTCTGGGCATGGCCTTGATAAAATGCCAGAAGTCTTGCCCAGAAAAGACCTTCCCCTAGAAATATATCTAGACAATAACTCCATATCCAGACTTTCTTGGCGAGGATACCTTAATCAAACACGGAAATTGGTCTTATCCAATAACATCATTACAACAATTGATGGCTCTGCTATTGATCAGCTACAGAATGCAACAGAAGTAGACTTGCGAGGAAACACAGGAATTAAGAAATTACCTAGTGAAATTCAGTATTATAAACCAAGTACATTTATTTTTGGAGAGCTTAAAATTAACTGTGATTGCGAAAATGTATGGTTTGGAAAATGGATCGAAATTAATCACAACGAAAAAGGCGACAACAACCACTTTTGGTGCCAAACTGTAACGAATGCAAAGGAGGCGGCTGAACTAGTAACAGAAGATTATCTGGATTGTGAGCAGTCGAAAGTGCCTACATGGATACCAATTTTATTCGCAATTCTTACCTCTCTGGTCCTGGGTATAGCATTAATAATCAAATTGTTCAAATACGAGATTTACTTGTTGTTTCGACGGCTCAGAAACAAATATGAGCGCCAACATTGGTCTTATGACGTGTATATATTATATGACGAGTCAGTGAATGAGATACATAAATGGATTATAAATGACTTTCTGCCATCGTTGGAGGCAGACGGCTACCTTGTTTGCCTGCCTAGTAGGGATTTCAGCATAGGGATTCCATATGAAGAGGAATTCGCTCGTTTTATGGAACAGAGCAAATTTGTTTTGATAGTATTGTCCAAAAATGAGAGAAATGTATTGTGGGATTTGGAATGGAAGCAGGCTTGGTATTCTTACAGATATTATAATATCAAAAGCATAATCGTGATAAATTTCGATATGTTCGACTACGCCTCCGTGCACCACCCGGTCTTACGGGCGTATATCCGGCTTGGGATGTACCTTGACTTTTCCAACATGGAAAAGTCATTAATTATCGACACCAAGAAAATGTTAGGGTGTTCTAGTAGAACAAATCGCAGACTAAAAAACGAATTTTGTAACCCCAATACACGATTTAAGCGCCATGACTTGTTGATGAAGCGTTGAGGGGATTTCTCCTCTTTTGATGATACTTTTTTACGTGTTGCCTATTATAGGTCAAACAGTATCGGCTTACTTGTACAACCAAAGATCTTAACACTACTAGCATCAGGATTTTGTTCGAGTAAATTTAGTTTGATTTTCCCTTGTCAAAATGTAGTATACGTATGCATGTGTTGTATAACACTTCATCAACCTGTTCCGGACTTCAGGTTTTGATTATCATATCATTACAATTTTGGACAGCAGTTTCGTTTATAACGCTTGAATGACCAAAGACTAGCAATACACACTAATTATCAGAAGTTAGATACTAAGAGCCTCGAAAAAGACTAATGGCTGGTATCAAGTTTTTAATACTTTATAAGGATTTGTTATGAGTTTACAGGTACGATTTTAACCGAGACCTATCCTAATTAATTTCAAACTTACGATATCTACGTACATATGATAGTCATGAATTGAAGAGCATCCTTCTACCATAAGGTCCCATATGGTTCCTTCCATTCTGAAGTGTTTTCAGGTTTTGGAGCGACCCAGTGTCCAATATGGCGTACGAGGCTTTTTATTCGCTTTTCTGGCTAAATCCGATTAGCTTTATATATTTAGCGACTTTAATATTTTCCTGAATAACTTTGAACCAAGTTCAAAGAAATTATGTTATATAAATGATACATATAGGAATGTGTTCTTGGTCTTTATTCATGAAACCGTTCTTATGCTCATACTCAGATTATTAGTATGTGCTCAAACCCAGTTTCTTCTTTCCGTGAAATCAATAAATAACCTTTGTCAATGATTTGGAAGAACTTTGGAGAGATTAAACGCAATATAACATTTGCAGTGTTTAAACTTGGCGTATTGACCATTTTACTTGATTTAAGCAAGTTTAAACAAGTTGGCGTAAACACCAAATCAATGCTTTAGAATGAGAGCGAATTCATGAGTACGGTCTTATATCTCCATTCGTGATTTCAAGCGATATTGTTATGTAGACAACAACTCTACTATGGATTCAAAGTTTCCAAGACTTTATGGAAGTCATCAGGATCTCGCAGGGAAATATGCTAATTCTTTGTGTGATATGATTTTTTTTATACTCAATAGAGTTGATTTGTGATTTTGTTGCCAAGAATTCTCGATATGATGACGTTTTATTGGATTTGGCCTAGATTTACATGGCGTGTATCGTCGATGAAGCAGAAAACGCTTACCTTTCCGAAACACCTGGTCCTTAGTATCCGTTTTCTTTTTCAGGGATCTCCATTTAAATATTTTTTCGTATTTTGTCCTAGGATTATCAATTTAAAGTTCGGAATGTGTCGTGAAAACAAATCGAAGGCACGCGGTTAGCTATGTCATTGGTTTTAGGTAAATAGAATTACCAATCGATATGCTGATGAATGTCCTTTAAAATTATAGAGCAGCGACACCAGGACCCAGTTGTTCAAAAGATGATTAGCTTAATCACTGTTTAACGACATTTTGCAACCTTTAATAATTTCGTCAATATACATGGTAAAATCTCGTTATTTTACACGTACATTTAGTCTACTAAATACTTGATATCTGGAAAAATTGAACTCAGTCAATATTTGTGTTTCAAAGATACACATAAATTGTAATTTGCACTTATCACTGATTAACCCAATCGCCCTTTGAACAACTGGGCCCAAACTTCAAATCTTGTCAATTTTACCGTTATGCTACAGCGCGATACTTTTGATGTACATCGAAAGGATCAAACTATACTGCACTTGTACAATCCATAACGTGTTAGCCTTCAGTGATGTCATGACATACTCGGAGGTTGCAAAATGAGCGTAACACCAGGATTTTCAAAGATGCAAGTTTTATCACATCTCCTCTCGACATTATAATTTTACCGCTACCAGTACCATTTCCGGTAGGCATGCTACAGATCACGCGACACAGTCTAGTGTCGATTTGTAACGTTTATCTGGGTTTCATGGGATTTGTTTTGGTCCTTTTTATTCTGTAATCAATATGCATTTTGTAAACAGTGATATGTGTTTTCTCAACATAAAACGTTCGATCTGTACACGGCAAAAAAAAACCTTCAGTGATCCAATCAATTTGTATCATGATATCGCCTGCTTAGGTTGCTATCAAATGACATGAAAACCCACACGTACAATACACAAACCAATCAACAGCAAATTTCAAAATTGATATGCATCCTAATATTCAGGAATTATTATTGATATTGGTTAACTGTTGGGAATGAAAGATTGACTAGAGAAAAGAATATGTTGTACTAATGGCGGCAGGTCATACCTACGTACTATTACCAAGGTACGACTGATGTTAAATTTTAAAGAGCTTTTTATGCAAAGAAACATTCACTGTTTCACCAATATATTGAGAATATTGTTTAAATAATCGCTTGATTTATGTTTCCTTTGTGAACCAGAAGAGGACGTTATACAGCTATAGGTTTTCTCGTGAAATCCGGGGTCCAGTAAAATTTAAAATTGTACAGAGTATCTTAGGCATGGTTTGCGACCGGATTTCATGTAATGGAATATGTTATGCAGTTCAATGATTTATCATCAGATTGTTAAAAGGTTCATATACAGTCTTATTATATATCAAAACTAGCACAGTAAATACTAAACAAATGAAATCTTCAGATCTGCATTGCTTATTTGACAATGTCCATTTTGCATGCATATATATCGTAATAATGAAATTCTAGAGTTATTTACTTCCGGGTATGATATTTATCTTGTTTGTAATGATTGCATAAGTCCTAATACATGATCAGCAAACAGGTAAATGACATGTTTATAATGAGGTTTTGTGTGACAATCTTAATAAAACTCCGGAATAAGGTTTGGCGTCGAAAGTACATCAATGGGTCAGCACCAGTGACAAGATAATATTTCTGTTGTGATGGCAGAGATTCATGGTAAAGGGAAGCGTCCAATATCAAATGAAATATCTTTATTAGGCTGTATTTAATCAATGAAATAGGAAATAAAAAAAATATATGTCATTGAATTATTGAAGATAAAGTTAACAAAGTTAAACCAATAACGTCAACAGCATTGTTAAATACAATATTCAACTACAAGTTTTTACTATAATGATAAATGATGTTTGGCTATCTTCTTCTTAAACTGAAGTCCTAAGAAGAGAGAAATGTGTGTCGCAAACCCGACTTTGTCCGTGTGGTCTGGTTCTACTAAGGAGACATTGGAGAAACCATACTACAAGCAATGCGACTAATGCGTCCATCCTTAAGGAATCAGGATTGGTTCCTTTCGTGTCTTCCTGCTAATGGGGCATGGGCGACACCACGAATAGACCTTGGCCCAGTTGTTTAAAAGGTGATTAGCTTAATCAGTGATTAACGAAAATCCTAATGTTTGTGTATCTTTAAGACACAATATTTAGTTGAGTGAACGTACATGCAAAATTGTGAGAATTGCCTTGTATATTGACAAAATCATTAAAGGTTGAAAATGTCGTTAAACTGTGATTAAGCTAACCGCTGTTCCCAATACATTTGAAACATAAGAGGCGACTTCCATTGATGTCTTCTACTTGAATCTTGAATTTGGGACCTCTTTCTTTATCTCTACCTACTTTTTCCTTTTTGACGGTATCTTCCTAGGCACTTGTCCTCTCATGACCTTGGCTCTGCATAGTGACGACAGTTCACTGAAAGGGATCTCTTATCAGTTGTTTCATGACACCCATTCGGGAAGTTTGTAAATGATTTTAAGGTCAGTTTGCTTTTGATAAACTATTTGCCCTCTGCATGCGCCGCTCGCTTATCAAATGACATGTTTACCGATTATAAATGACCAAGTTACTTGTACCTTTATTATTCTATCGACCTATTGCGTTTTCCGGTCCTAAAAGCGTAATCTTGAAACCGTCCCACCTTTATATACATGTACAATTGATGTTTGCACAAATTGTCAATACTTTAGTGTCAGTAAGTAATTTACTAGAAGTTATTTACGATATACTAGCTTTATTTGTTAGTTTTTATAAAAATGTGTTTTTTTACAAAACGTTATAAGATAATCGCTATATCATGCACATTCTCCCCCAGTGTAGTCATACATAATTATTATTCGAAACATTTTGGATTAGATTTCTTAATTGACGAATTCACCATATTGTGCAGTAAATGTATGTTTACTTTGGATTTCTACATCGACTGTTTTTAAAGTTGCTTTCTGACTTCCTAATTCTAGAGATAACAAACTCGACGCTAGCACAGCTCACCTGTACTACCTGTACAAGATTCTGTTCTATAAACAAAGTTCACATATTCCCACCGAAGATAACCTGAACATAGTTCTAATATTTCCACCGAATATTCTGTACTATAGACATAGTTCTAATAAACTTCCCAAATATTCCATACTATAAACATAGTTCAAATAGTCTCACCGATGATTCTGGTTTTTGAGACTAGTCAGATTAAGGTCTATTTCTAGGCATCTAGTTTTATATATGTATTGTTTTATAAGTAGTATTATGATGTTTTCTATATAAAACTTTGTATGGTTATATGTATGTTTACCAAAAAGGAATTCTTGTTTTTCAAATCTTAGTGTAAGGTTTTTAGTTATTACCAACTTTTTCGCAATCTCATAGCATATGAACTATTGTTTCATGGTGAATTTTACATAAAGTGCAAAGGTTATTGTGTGATTTGCTAATTTTGAATAAAAATGTGTTTGTAGTGATAATTCTGTTCTGTACTGTAGTTTGGAGTTGGTGGTGGTTTTAAAAGGACATTCATATATTTTTTTCCATGTTTCTTCATCTATATTATCATTTAATATCCATTTTCTTTGAGCAGTAGGTTTGATATTATTTTTAATTAATATTAAATATATGTCTTGTGTGCTCCTTTACTATTTTTAAGTATTAACTTAAGATTGTTTTTTCTGAAGTAAAAATGTGATGATTTTTTCTTATAAAATGATGCACAGCATTGTTTAGGCCATGGTATGTCAAAAAATTACAATTTATGTTATAGTTTTCTTGAAATTCATCAAAGTGGTAGAGTGATCCATCCTGTTTAATAATGTTATATACAAATTGTACTCCCTTTTTAAACCATGAATTTTTTAATGTAAATTTTCTGTCAATTTTAATTTCACTATTGAACCACAGAGGGTTTTCACGTATATTTGTATTGTATATATTGCTAGAGATAATAGTATTGTACCATGCTTCTAAGACATCTTTCCAAAAGAAGTTACTACAACGTTTAGATTCTTCTTTAAATTTCTCAAGCCCACAGTTAGCTAATGTTTCTTTATCAAAATAAGTTTCTAAAATAAGAGCCCAATGTCCTTTTTCTTTATATACCCGTCTTATCCATGTTGCTTTAAGAGCTGTTATAAAAGATGTTAAATGTATCATTTTCAGACCACCTTTTTCATAACTTTTAATTATCACATCTCTCTTTATTTTATCTGGTTTACCATTCCACAAAAATTCATACAGTATACTATTATTTTTTCTTATATATGTTTCATCAGGATTTGGTAGTGCTATAAATAAATGGTTAAACTGTGACATAAGTAGTGTTTTATAACTGATATTTTACCTATTGGTGTAAGTACTCGTCTATTCCATGATGATATAAGAGGTTTTAGTTTTATAAGTGTTTTTTTTATCAAAATTCAGTTTTGTAATTCTGTGTAAGTCTACATCATAGTCTATCCCTAGCAAATTGAACGTTGTACTTCCCCATTGTAAATTACAATCTGTTGTTTCCACTATATTTTTTTGCTGCCAATCCACACTACCTGGGTCTCGGAGAAATTCGTTTTTAATCCTGACATTTTTGCATAATAAGAGAGATCTTTTAAAGTTTCATCCAGAGATCTTTTAGAGCCATCTAAAATAACAGATGTATCATCTGCAAATTGTGATAAAAGAATTTCATTATCCCGTACAAATATCCCCTTAATGTTCTTGTTATTTCTTAAAAGTATCGATAAGATTTCTGCACATAAAATACAAATATAAGAAGATACAGGATCTCCTTGACGACAGCCACGTTCTATGCTGAAAAAATTGTGATAAGTTTCCCCCTATGTTTACTGCCGAGTGAATATTTTGTTGAAACAGTTTTATCCAATTAATTATAGTTGGGCCAAATTTTAAATATTTTAGGGTTTTTGCTATAAAGTTCCAAGAAACAGAATCAAAGGCTTTTTCAAAATCAATGAGAAGTATAAGTCCAGGAATATCATAGTCCTCTGTATATTGCATAACATCATATATTAAACGAGTATAAAGCCAGTTTGGTTATTACTTATCAATTTGGTTATTATTGTTTTTAATCTTTCAGCTATTTCACCAGATGCCATTTTATAAATATTATCTAGAAGGGTAATTGGTCTCCAGTTTTTTAATTTGTTACGAGGTTTATCTCCTTTTGGGATGCAAGTAATAATTTCTTGTTTCTGTGTTTCTGATAGTTCAGATATAGTATAACCATAATTTATTGATCTAAGAATAAAATGCCCGAACTGTTTCCAAAATACTTTAAAAAATTCAACAGTGAAACCATCTGAATCAGGACTTTTATTTTTTTTCATATTTTTAAGGGGTTTTGCTAATTTATTAATAGTAATTGGACCTTCTAAACTTACTGATTCAAGGGGGGATAACTTTGGCACAACATATGTTCTTAAAAGTTCATTGAGATCAACATCCTGAAGTAACTGATTTTTCTTATATAAGTTTTCATAGTAGTTTTTAGTTTCCTTTAAGATTTCTATTTGATCTCAAATTACAGTCCCATCTTCTTTAGTTATATAAGGAATTATCTTACTAGTAAAGTTACGTGATTCTAGCCCACAGAAGTATTGTGTTGGTTTTTCACCTTCACTTATCCACTTGGCCCTTGACAGTATCATATTACCTGCTATCTTATGTTTTCTAATTTCTACTAATTCTATTTTCTTTTCATCTATGTGATTTAAATCTGTATTATTAGGAAGTGTTTCTAAGTTTTTAATTTGATTTATGAGAACCTCTTCTCTTTCATTAGATTTTTTTCCACATAGCTAGAGTATGAAATGGTTTTACCCCTTATTTCCATCATGAGAGTTTCAAAGAATAATTGATCATTTACAGTAAAGGTTATTTCATTTAAAGGAATTGCATTTAAATTATTTATGTTGTATACTGGTAAAGAGTATTGTTGTTTTATAGTGTCTATAGTAGATTTGATGAGAGTTAAATATTCTAAATCAAACAATAAAGAGTTATTAAATTTCCATTATCCCCTACCTTTTTGAAAGTTATGAAAAGCTAAGTGTATGACAGAAATAGAGTGATCAGATCGGTAACTTGGTTCAATTACAGAAGACGTTAGACTTGGTAGTAAGCTGTCAGATGTTTAAGAGCAGTTTTCTTACGCCATGTATATCTTTTAGTATTGGGGTTAAGTTCTCTGAAAGTATCTATAATTCCAAACTCATCTTTGAAATCTATAACTTTATTTCTTGCATTTGGGTTATTTATATGTTTGTAATTATCACAATCTAATTTCGGATCCATAGTAATATTAAAATCCCCACATTATATATATTGACTATTACCCAATTCTTCTATAATATTCATTAACTCCTCGAAAAATACTGGTTGGTCAGTGTTAGGTCCATATATCAAGTGCTAGCATATTACCGTTAAAATCCTTTCTTACCTGTAAGACTTTATACTCGAAATTGTTGTTAAAAAGTATTGCAGTTCCTCTAGAGTTAGAGTTAAAAGAGTTAAAAATACAGTCAAATCCCAAATTCGAACGAATATTTTTTTTCCTTGTCGGCTGTAAAGTGAGTATCCTGTAGACAGTAAATATTGTACCTTTTCGCTTTTAAATAGGAAAACACATCTTTTTGTTTAACTAGATCAGGTTGGGCACAACGGCGCATATGGGTAATAATCCCGCATTTGGGTAACATCTTTGTATGTTATGGTTGAATGCACTTCAAATCTACTTTCACTATCCTATATAAAAAATCAAAATTTTGTAGTTCACTTACGTTATTGAAAATCGCCATATCTATTGGTTATTACAAACAACTTTTGGTTGAACAGTTTTTGATTTTAAAAGTATTTCACGACCTTTGAAGACTTAGAAAAGTCGGAACATCTAAAATCACGAAAATGTCAAAACACGAAAAACGTTCAACCAAAAGTTGTTTGTATCGCGGATCGTCACTCCGGTTCCCTCTTTCTTTAGCAGGAACAGAGAAACAGGAAAGACAACTCAATCATGCTCACTACATAGAGTTGCCTTCCCTGCATCTGGCGGTTTACCTTAGTACGCAGAGACGGGAACCACGAGTATGGATTGTTATATTATATAGTATAGCTTCAATTAATCAATATAAGGTTACAATTAATTAGTAATGAAATGAGTACGGTACACAGTAATTGTCACTATAGTATGTATATATGTATATATTTATATATAAAATCATCCACGTCATACGAATATCTATTTTTATCGTATCTTTTTACTCTTATAAGCTCTAATTACAGAAGATATTAAATCAAAGGCTCGATTTCTTACATAATTATCAAATAATGTTTCATGTAAACTATGAGAAATATTGTATCAGGCTTACGTACGTATCTCAAAGTCATTATCATATATATGTGAAGTTTGAACAGCTTCTAGACTTGCTTATGTCACCCGCTTGCTAATATTACACGTGCATGAACACTGGTAAAACACTGCGTAAACGTACTTTTATATTTAATTGAATTTAATTGAAAAATAATGGACGCAGGCTGAAAGCCTCTAAGTCCATATCACAAAACATAGTATAAAAATATTATATTGTCACTGGTTAACATATATAAACTTTCCCAAAAGAGTTATTTTAAAAGTCATTATCAGTAATTATTGTAAATAGTGTCCTTCAGATGGTTATCCAACAGGATCTCAAAGTCCTTCGTGGTTTCTGCATTTACAACCGATTCCGGTAGACCGTTCCAGATATCAACTACCCTAAACGTGAACGAGTTTTTCCTTAGCTCTGTACTACATCGTTGTTTATACAATGTACAGCTTAAATTTATGTCCTCGTGTTCTTTCGTTATTATCGTAAACAAATATGTCTGACGTGACTTTCTCATCAAACTTCCTCTTCACAATCTTGAAAACGTTAATCAAATCACCTCTAGTTCTTCGGTGTTTTAGTGTCGGTAGTTTTAATTTTTCTAAACGTTCTTCGTAGGACTGGATTTCTTTAAATCCATGAAGAAGCTTAGTGGCTCTCCGTTGTACATTCTCTATCATCTGGATATCTTCAAGTTTATACGGACTCCACGCACTGGCTGCGTATTCTAGATGCGTTCTTTCCAGAGTCTTAAATAACTGTCTAAAAATCGATTCGTCCAAAAAAGTAAATGATCTTCTAATAATCCCGAGTTCTGAATTAGCTTTATTTATTGAGTTTTGAATGTGGGTCCGAAAGTCCAGGTTTGTATCCACCGTTACTCCTAAATCTTTTTCACTGTTGATTTTGTCAAGTACGACTTCTCCAGTTTTGCTCGCGAGACGGTATGTTCTATTATTGTTTATAGGAAGATATTTAGTAAACAAACTCATATATTCATAGATAAAGTGGTATTGAACAAGTAAGTTACCGGATATGCGATCAGAGACGTATATATTACATTTACGTTTCAGGGACGAGAATCAATACATGAAATATGGCGTTTACGCATGTGATATTCATATATTATTTATACATATACACACACTATATAAGCTAATAACCGTGTTATATCTCGTGGGTTTTCCATATATATTTTTAATTGAGCACCTTCATATTACATATATATACATATATACACATTACAAACAGCTTACGATCATGTTATAAACTTATTCAAGTTATATTTTATGAAGAGAATGGACTTTTTGAATTTTCGCCATTTTAATTTTCCACATTTCTATCTATGGCAGTTAAGGTAAAGGAATAAATAAACTGTATTCATTATGTTTAGAAAACGTTTGTAATTTGATTCAAACCTCTCTCGGCCGCAAAAGTCACGATATATTTGTGTTTTGACAAACTAACGCTTCTCACCACTGTCTTAGACTGTCACTTGTGATGAGGTGCCAGTTATCAACTGTCACAAAGCAATGAACATTTATTGTTTGTAATTTTCACGTTTGTTTTGCTGATGATTGTGTACACGTTCGTCAATGGAAAGTCCCGGATATATCCTATGAATGGACTTGTCGTGTTGGTACCAGCTGAGCGTACATTTTACCATTGTCAGACCACGACTGCTTTACTCTGTCATCGTAATAGCACATGTCCAACAAATGTTGGTTTTCTTGGGTCAGATCGTCTTTTATGACAATACCAGTTCCTTTTAGTTTTTACTGGTTCGCGATGCACTCATTTTTTTCTCTCTCCTGCAGATAAAACATAATACTAATATTCCCACCGAGGATTTTATACCATAAACATAGTTTTGATATTCCCACCAAAG